TCACCGTGAAAGGAGCATCCAAGGCTTTTCCATTCAAAAGATCGTCGAATATTGGCGACTGATCAAGAACGTTGACGTTGTTGTTGGAACCCGCAACCCCAAAAAATGCATGTCAAATCCATAAATCTTGAGAAGCGACAGCCTCTAACACCAAAGAAGGTGATCCGTGATGACCACTTGCGTATTGCCCTTTCCATGCTACCGGACAATTTTTCCATTTCCAGTGTGTGCAATCAATGCTTCCGATCATTCCGGGAAACCCATGGCGTTCTTCATGCGCCGCATACAATTCTTGCAAATCATGCAACGAAGGTTTCCGCAAATACACGTCACCAAAAGTTTCAACAACACCCCTTGACAACGTATACAAACTCTCTCTTGCGGTTCTTTTGGACATTCTCATATAGTCGTCCATGGTGTCGGGTGACTCCCCCATAGCCATCAAACGAATGGCCGCAACACATTTCTGCAACGTTGTAAACCCGCGTCTACCTCTAGCATCATATCTTAATTGAAAAAATTCGTACCTAAACATAAATTAACTACAGTTGACAAATTATATTGCATATGTTGTAAAATTAAAGAAACATGTAGTACATTTTTATTTATTTTTTATAAAAATAAAGTAAAGAAATGATACCGGCTTTCCAAGGCGTTGACGATTCGTAAGAACACATCCTTACTCAAACGAAATCTTCTTTTGAAGTCCTTCGCCCCGTATGCATAATTATCCACAAAGTAATCACGATATAGATGTTCGTGTCCTTCCTCGCGATTTATGTTTAACATAGCACGTCTTGTTAGTAGCGGGGCTGGATCTGGTTGTAGCAAGTCGGTAGTGTTAAATGATACATCATCCTAAAGAAAATATCGTCATCTGAATCATCGGACAAGTCGAAAGGATCCATATTTTTTTTGAAGATAATTGAAAGTATATAGAGAGGATAAGAGAAAGTGTGTGAAAATTTTAAATAAAATGAGAGTATTTATAGGATAAAATGTTTTTTTTTAATAATTAACTTTTTTTTTTTTATTCAAACCGTTGCAAATCAAACGGTCATTTTTTTTAATTTTTCTTCGTTTCTTCCCGTCGCCACCCCAACGAGAAGCAACGAGCGGGGGGGGGGGGGGGGGGGGGGTGTTCCCCGTGTCATAACGGCGTTGAGGGGTGCCACCTCACCCCCGTTGCTTCTCGTTGGACCGATACTGACTCGTCTTACGAAATCGGATTTTAGTTATAAATGGATTTCGCATGTCTCTCATTTAAATACACATAAAGAGATCAAATGATCAACTGAGAGTCTGGCGAATGATTTAGTGTTAGACCTACATTTGGAATATCATGTGAGTTCATGGATTTGAAAACTATCTATATATCAAAATTAAGTCTTTTAACTAAAATAGGATTGTTCTTATGTTATGCATGTTTGGTATTATAATATATGGATGTTAACTAAAAATAAAAACACTTTTTTAAAAGATACTTGAAACACTCTTTTCACTTCAGATATATTTTTGAAATCATGTTATTTATTTATTTATTTATTTTATTACAAAATTTTGTTTTGAAAACACTTTTTTTACTATTGTCTGAAATCTCATTTCGAAAAGTCTAGTATAATGATTTTTCAATCAAATAGATAATTTAAAAACATTGTTTCAGAGCCAATGTTGAGAAATTAAATATCCTGAAAGGTTCTAAACGATCCAGAAAAAATGCCTTTATATATATATATATATATATATATATATATATATTAAAAATAAAAATTTATAATAATAAAAAGGTATTTTTTCTGGATCGTCTAGAACCTTTCAAGATATATATATATATATATATATATATATATATATATATATATATATATATATAGAGAGAGAGAGAGAGAGAGAGATAAGTTCAATTGAGAAAAAAAAAGGTTGAGAATGGAGAAATCATTCTCAGCCAATCATTTATTTTTGCCGTAAAAGCCTAATGGGAAATGAATGCACATGTATTTTCCAACAAAACACGTTTCTTAAACTATGCTAATAATTACCTTAATATGTATAAAAACATAGTTTTTATTTTTTATTTTTTAAGGAATTATTTTTATCGAAAAATAATTATAAATATATTAAAATTCATAATTTTTTATTCTCTATAAATAGATATCTATATTGATATAGTTTTAAGATAAAATAATTTTTTTTTCATAGTTTCAGTTTTCGTTATTCATAAGTCAATAAAAAAGAATCAGTTTTATACTACAGTACATCGTTATTCACTTATGAATAAAAAGTATGATTTTTTTTAGTATCATTTATATGTGAATATAACATATAATAAACATAGTATATTCATATTTAAATATTAGACGATGCATTCACTTGTGAATATTACATAATATATTCATTTGTGAATGTTAGATGATATATTCACTTATGAATATTAGATGATATTTTCATATGTGAATATTATATAGTATTACATGGTATATTACAAGAGAATAGTACATAGTATATTCATTTGTGAATATTAGATCGTATATTCACTTATGAATAATAGTTGGTATATTCATATGTGAATATTGCACAGTATATTCATATATGAATATTAGAAGGTGTTTTCAGAAATATATAACTTTTATATGTTATTCACATATGAATAACATACAGATTTGCATATTTGTTTTGTGTTTTAATAATTACATATTGATTCAGGTGAGAAAACATATTCATATGTGAATATAACGTGGTAATTTAGCTTATGCATTTCATCAAACAGTTGGAGTTCATACAAGTTAACTTTTTTAAAAATGTGATAAATATGATACTTTGACTATTTAAATCTTACAAAATAGTAGATTGGTAGAGAAATATATGAAAATTTTCAAACAAAAATGATTTGATCTTTTTATAACCTTAATTTCGATGTTTTATTTGATGATCGATGTTGAATGAACGATACGAATTGAATTTTTTGTTGATTATCGATGATGTTGTTCTAATGATGCTGGGTAATTAATCGTAGATGTTGAAGATATTTTCGTATTCAAGCAGAATTGAAGGTTGGATTGAAAGAGCAAAAAACGAATTTTTGTTGTCAACACGTGCTATTAACGAATATCGATGATTGATTAACACATGATGACGTTGATCGATGATTTAATTGAAGAAATCTGGATGATTGTTGAAGGTTGGAAGAGAAATTTGGATGATAAACGATCGATTAGAATGAATTCCAGCTGTTATCTAATTCTCTACACTTACGTATTTGTGAGTGAAGGTTATTATATCATATTTACAAGTTTGTCACCGTGTCCTTTATGTTTAGAGACTAATTCAATGAGTGACTGAGAATGATTCCCTCGTTCTCAATATTTTTTATTTTCTCAATTGAACTCACTTCTCTCTCTCTCTCTCTCTCTATATATATATATATATATATATATATATATATATATATATATATATATATATATATATATATATATATAAACAAGTTAGGCTTTGTACAGCTGCCCACTTTGTCCCATCTCAACCCCTATGCATTGTTTCTTACATACCTCCGTTTACTATGTCTTTTTTTTTTTTTCTAATTAAAAAAACGAATTATTATTTCTCAAAATTTAAGAGTTGTTCTTGAAATTCGAAGGTTACTTTTAAATACGACATTTTAGTCATGACTTCTGAATATCGGTCCGAAATATATTTTGTCAAAAAATTACATTTAATCCGAAATACCCATTCCGAATTTCTTGGTCATATATATATATATATATATATATATATATATATATATATATATATATATATATATATATATATGAGTTATTTTCTTTAATAATAATTTAAAATATGTTTAGTTTTGTTAATACGCCTATAATACATCGAGCCGTTTTTTATAAGAAAAGTGTTTAACCTAAACTTTTAAGTACAATCTTTTATATCCTTATTTCATATTCATCAATGTTATTGGAGTATAGGGTGAGCGGTTTCGAAAGGTATCTTTTGGTGTACAAAGTCATGGTTGTAGCATGATGCATGCTTGTGATCATATTGGTGTTGTGTGATAGACTGCATCCATTATTGTTATAATGCATATATATATATATATATATATATATATATATATATATATATATATATATATATATATATATATATATATATATATATATATATATATGGGAAAAAGAAATATACATTATAGCTCCACCTAACCTTAGGTACTAAACCTCTTGAAAATACATTGTTTTATTATATAAAGATTACGGTTAATGGATTCACGGTTAATACTTCAAGATGTAAATTCAAGATCGATACAATATGGTTTAGGGTTTAGGGTTTAGGGTTTAGATTTAGGGTTTAGGGTTTAGGGTTTAAGGTTTAGGGTTTAGGGTTTAGATTTAGGGTTTAGGGTTTAGGCTTATGGTTTAGGGTTTAAATTTAGGGTTTGGGGTTTAGGTTTAGGGTTTAGTAATGTTCACTTGGGTGAAGTAATAAATGATAATTGAAGAAAGAAAACAGAGATGGTAAAACAATAATGAAAGAAAGAAATGTTATGGAGGATGATATATTTACCAAGTGAAGCCAAACCGAGCACATTTAGCATGTTAAAACGATATATTTTAGAGGTTTAGTACCTAAGCTTAGGTGGGGCTGTAATGTATATTCCCTATCCTATATATATATATATATATATATATATATATATATATATATATATATATATATATATATATATATATATAGATGAACCAGCAAATACATATATAAGAAGGAAAACAGGAGAAAAGAGTTATAGCCACACATTAGTGGCAATAGAGATTGTCAAAACAGAAAACAAGATAAAAAAACATACAAATTAATAGAAAAAAGGACATTGAGATAATTTTGCCCAAATCAACTCCATCTTGATACCCCTCTTCTGCACCCAAATAAAAGTCATAGATTTAAAATAATCGATGATTTTATCCGGTGGTAGCCGGGTTTTTTTTTTATTTTTATAAACAATATCATTCCTTGTTGTCCATGTTCTCCAATGTGTAGAGTAGCAAATTGCCAGGAATATCTTTCGCTTTTTTATGCATGTTCTCCATCGGTTGGCAAAGTTCAAAACATCCGACACCGTTTGAAGATCTTCCATGTTTATATTCACCTGACACCACCTCATTATTCCTTTCATGACCATCTTTGCGTAAGAACAATCTACATGAACATGATCATCACTTTCTTCTTTTTCATTACACATCTGGCATATTAAAGTATCAATATTCACCCCTCTTTTTACTAACTCCATAGCTATTGGAATTCTGTCCAAATTTGTTCTCCAAATGAAGTAGGAGACTTTTAATGGGATTTTTTTTTATCCATTGGAAGTTTGTATTAGTCAATGGAGGCCGGTAGTCCCACCTTAGTCTGAGAGCATTCACAGTGAAAGATCCATTCGGGGTAAGCCCACATCTCCAAGTAAGTCCGTTGTTGACCGGTTTCTTATCTAACACTGTGTTGACTTGGATATCCTTTTTCCTTAGAATATTTTCAATTCCTGCTATGTTATTGCATACCCCCGGTAGTGACTTTGCTGAGTAACATTCATCAAGTTTCGACCTTAGATTGTGCACACTTGTCACACCCCAAAACCAAGAACGGCGGAAACGTTCTGGGGTGGAGGACGTCATGTACAGTATCACAACAATGAAAATTAGTAAACAAGCAACAACATCATCAATTGCATTAATAATATAATTATTATACAAGTGTTCTGTCAAATTTTGATAAACACTAAAGCATAAATCAAAATGAAAGATGAGTCTTGGATAAGCTCCGTCTTCCTTTCTCCTTGCATCGGTACCTGTCTATGATGACCTGAGGATACAAGTAATTTTGAAAGCGAGTATCAGCTTTAAAGCTGGTGAGATCATAAGTATTTTAGTGTCTTAATTTGTATGTAAATACTTGTATGTATTTGAAATGTAAGTATTTGTATGTATACGAATTGTAAGTATTGAAAATGTAAATGAACTGTAAGTGTGAAAATGTTTGTAAAACGACTGTAAACGTTTGAAAAACCCTAGAAATCCCTATGATTCCTACTAGTAACAAAAGGAGTCTTCTACCAAGACTTAGCTGTTCTTAATGTTCGTTTCTTATAAAAGAGTGTAATTTTCCCAAGTGTAACTATCATTATCAAAATATAGTTTTTACATTAAATGTTTACGTGAAAAGATCACCAAATATATGTAAAGGGAAAATAAATGTAGTACTGTAGTGTTGTATTATAGGAACTACTGCTGTACTAACTACCTTAAACTGGATTTATATTAAGGCATCATGTGATTAATTGCACCATACTATTGACTAGTAACAACGACATACGAATGGTCGTAAAACGGAATGATGTTTGGCACCCGCAGACCTACAAGTCCGGCTGTAGCTAGCAGCAAGGTGTAGGATAGTCAATCCAGTATAGATCTATACGCAAACTCACACTCTCCCTCCAAGAGAATTCTGGCTACAACTCGGGCCATGACATTTAAGGCATGCTCCGATATAGTGGATCACAATTTTTAATGTATTCATGTATATGTAATGTAATGTTACTTGTTCTAGTATCGTTGTATATGTTCTCTTCCTAGTATAGTTGTATATGTTCTTCTCTAGTATAGTTGTATATATTCTTCTCTAGTATAGTTGTATATGTTCTCATAGTAGTAAGTATTGACTCATGAATGAACTGACTCATAGTATGATATTGTGTTCTAGTAATAGTTCTAGTATCTTCCTAAACTACCCCTATGGTAGTTTACTAGTAATCTAACTTGTACATATGGACATGGATGTATACCCTTGCTACCCAAGGGTATTGATTGAAGTGGAAGAACCTTTATGACTACATATGTACACATGATATATAACTGATATTTAAACGACCTTCGGACGGGTACCCGATATCCCACCAGACCACATCTCAAGCGCGAAAAGGAAATAGGGTGGATAGCCTTCCTGAGTCTTTTAAACATTACTCATATAAATATACATATATAGGCATGCAATTTATAATATAAAAGCATAAAGTAAGTTTTGTAAAACCTTTGAACATAATTATTATCTTAAGAAAAGATCAACTTGATGTCAATCTATAAAAGGGTTTGAAGGCATGCGTTTGATAAAACAATTTAGTATAAGGAAACTTTTGTTTGAAACACAATTGTAACTAAGTTTGAAATAAAACATACCGAGTAAAATGTACAGTGTAATAAGGAGTTTAAAACATATAAAATGTTTATAAAAATCATTTGAAGGAAACTGTTTGGTAAAACGGCTAAAGTGTAGTAAATCATTTGAATGCTGCATATTAATCACATGTGATTGATGTAATAACTAGCATAATTCTACTTATTAATCACATGTAATTGATATAATAACTAGCATGATTCTACTTGTATCCCCCCCCCCCCAATAAAACATTAAAAAACTGTTAAAACATTGATTAAGGGGGTATGAACTCACCTGTAGTAAGTGACTGAAATTGAACGGACTGTTATCGTAAGGAAGGATCGGAAAAGTGCTTGGTGTCAAGTGAAGACTTTAGACACACACAATGATCCTAATTACATATGAAGACATATGTATATAAATAATTAGTGATTAAAACACTAATTATACAAGTATAAACATTTTAACGTGAGGAAAACACTTTTGGTCAAGTGCTAGGAGGCTAATGGGTTGCAACAAAGGAGTGCAAAGCCTCTAATGGTAGTTTATGGTCCAATGACCATATGCTTTGGAGTTTACGGCCCAGGGGAGTAAACTCCTGGCCGTAAACTCACAACAAAGTCTCTAAATGAAGCCTATCATTTATACAACTAGTTTGGTGAATTGTTTCAAGGCTAAATCAAGTGTTTGGGCTTCCTATTAACTCCTTTGAGGAGTTTATGGCCCTGGGACCATATCCCATGGAGATTACGGCTGTAATCTCCTTTGGGAGAATGTTTATGTTGTTTTGAGGTTCCTAACTCATTGGTGATTTGTTCTATGATAAGTTCTAGCCATGTGGAAGCATTAGGGGCACAATATCACCCCTTTATAGAGTTTTCGGCCTAAGGACCAATCCTTATGAGTTTACGGCCATAAACTCTATGGGAACATGGTTTCTTGGTTGCTTTAGCTCCTTAACATTTCAAGGATATCATCCAAGTTGGGTTCTAGGCATAAGGAAGGAGGTAGGGTGTCATTTGCCCTATTTATAGGGGTTTACGACCCAAGAACTTGTCTTGGCCGTAAACTCCTTTTTCCTTGTGTTTCCTTATGATTTCTAGGCTATAAACCCATTAGGGTACTTGTCCAAATTAGTACCTTGGCTTAAGAAGGGCTTTTAGGGCATTTTGGCACAAAAACATGGAGTTCACAGCCCAAGAACTTCCTTGGCCATGAACTCTCTTCCCCCCCCCCCCCCTTGAATTTTAATTGTTTTGGTGTCCTAAACATGCAATGGTGGGTTCTAGTTCGAGTTCCATGGCTTTGAGGGACTTTGGGACACCTTAGGACCTTAAAATGGAGTTTACTCCCCAAGAACGTTCTTGGGCGGTAAACTCCCAAATCTCACAGATTTGATATGTAATTGATGTTTCTAAACACAATCTAAGCTATATAACATAACTAGATTGAAGTACTCACAATTTGGGATAAAAACCCGAAGATCCGTGAGAGAGAATTTTGGCTTTTCTCTAATTGGAAATGTAACTAATGAACTATTTGGTTCAGAATTCTATTTATAGTCCTGAGATATTTTTGGCAGAAAATATTTTTATTCTCGGAACGAACTCTAATATCCTAGAGTATTGGAATAACAGTGTTCCACAAAACCCTAGTGCATCCACTCTCCTGATATCTCCTTAAGTGTAAATCCTGAAAAACTGTCAAACTTATACTTGAAGTCTGAATTTTCACTGTAACTGTTCTACTTCTATTGGCTTCAAATTGTTTGTTCAGAATGGAAATTTCGGGTTATCACAACACTCGTTATCACATCAACCATAACTGATTTGGCTGCAGCCCATATATATATATATATATATATATATATATATATATATATATATATATATATACACACACACACACACACATACACACACAGCAATTTGCATGATGTATCATTTTCGTTACACCATTTCATGCATTAATTAAGGTGTCATTAGGAATCTATTTATTTAGGGTGTTATTATATGTATCGACAATGATAGTTTGTTACATTGGACTTTATCCTAGTTGTACGAGTAGAAGCTATTAATTACCATAGAAATACTCTTGTCATACAAGTATATGAAAATGACAAACATAACGATTAGATATTACTCAACGCCTTCTTGTCAACTTTTTGTACTTTTGGCCTATAGTTTCTTGCTAATTGGTTTTTTTTATCTTCTATATTATTTGCCGGTTCCAAAAAAAAGATATTACTCAACGCAATATACATGTTAATTGTTATAAAAAAATTACTCACATTATAATTATGTGATTCACCATTCTTATGGTTTTGTTTGACGCTTATAAATTAGCTTGTAATTCTAGTTTATCTTTTTAACTTACTGTAATTTATTGTTTGATAAGACGATAAAATAGTTTATAATTATAAATTAGCTTTTGACAAGTTCAATTAAACAGAACCTAAATTTTATACCAATTAGCAATTGATATTTGTTTCAATAGATGTTCTATGCCAGGACAAAAGTTAAACCTATGTGTCATTTAATATTATTTATTATTTTAATATACATCGCTATTGTAAACTTTACTATAAAAATAATACCAAATATCAAATAACATGTTGCAAAGAGGCCTCTTGGATACAACGGTGAATTTTCTTGTCTGAATTGTGGCAGTTGGCGATCATATCGAAAATTGTAAGGGTATATTTTGTAATAAATCCAAAGTAGTGGGTTGTTACTGCAGTTCTCCCAAAAGAAACAAACAGGTTTTTGTAACTACGTATATACCGAATATGCTTATTTGTAGAGAGTTCTACTAACCTGTTGAATGGGCCCATCCAACAAATCGACGCGCTGCCACGTGTCATACCAGCTGAAAAGTTAGCGGATAAGGCGCAGAAAGGACTGCAATATTTGTCATGGATGACGTCATCGTTTCAATGAGACAGCACGTGGGCTGTGCCAACTCATTTTGAAATTTCAAAGACCGGTTTTTTTCACGTAACGGCCGAGAAAATAATAATAGTAATATTGAAAAAGACACATTCCGCATTTAATAAACTATTGGTTTTTATATTTTAGCAAGTATATCAATAAAATATTTTCTCTAGCTAGGACTATTTAGAGTTTCATAATTATATTATTAACATTATTAATAATCTGAGATTCATCAAAGAAAATATTTTATTCTTAACTGGTTCTTCGTTTATCGTTAAAGTCCAACTATATTATGACGATTATCCTTCTATGGCATGTTTAAGCTCTCCGAGCTTGTGAAAAATGACTCAACATTTACGGTAAAAACTTGTATAAGCATTAACTCTTTCAGTTGAATTTTAAGATATTCTTTAAATTTGATTAGTAAGATTAATAAAGAATTTGTTTTAGCTAAACATTTTGACAAATATAAGGACATTAGAGCTTGTTAATATTCTTTTGTACTAAAGTAAACAATATTTTGAATCCAA